GAAGAAGAAGAGATTGGATTTATACCTCGCCCTTCACTACCCGGGGAGTCTCAGAGCGGCTTACAAACTCCTTTCCCTTCCCCTCCCCTGTGAGGTAAAAGAAGAAGAAGAGATTGGATTTATACCCTGCCCTTCACTACTCAAAGGAATTTCAGAGCGGCTTACAATCTCCTTTCCCTTTCCCTCCCCACAACAGACACCCTGTGAGGTAGGTGGGGCTGAGAGAGCTCTTTTCAGAGCTGCCCTTGAGAGAACAGCTCTGACAGAACTTGTGACTGATCCAAGGTCACACCAACAGCTGCATGGGGAGGTTCTCCAAAATTAGAGTCCACACTCCTAACTAATGCTCCCTCTAAGCTGTGGAGTCTCGTGAGCAAAAAAATCCACTTTGTGAGCTGCTGGCATTAAAGTCGTGAGCGAGCGATTTGGCTGCTGCATAAATTAGTTTGCTCTGGAGCCGTCCTTCCTGAGCTAAGACAAAAAGGTGTGAGCAGGAGTCTAAAAAACGGCAAGCTAGCTCACACTAACTCAGCTTAGAGGGAACACTGTGTCCTAACCACTATGCCAAACTGGCTCTGAAAGTAAAAGGAATCAATATGCAGTGATTTTTAAGTCAGCTCGGAATGGTCCAAACAGTATGTTTAGCATAATAAAACAGAGCCAGTTAATCAACAATTGTGATTTCCAGTCCATAGATATGGCAGAGTTCATTAGCATTAATTTGGCCTGTGAGCACGCTGTTGACTGTCAAGAACTGGATTGGTGCCCACTGATATGGCACCACAAGGGAATACTTAATGATCTCTGATGGCATGGAGTCAAGTTGTATTGACGGGAGCCATTTTGACAGCGAATAGCACCCTCAGACAGTGAATGAGCAAGCATTCGTTCTTCTGCCTGCTGCTGGTTACTGGCTATGGTGTGAAAGCCATATCCATTAACAGTAAATGAATTAGGGAATGTCCAGTAGAATCATGCCAGGAAGAAGAGCAGAGTGCAGTCCATCTTGTCATCTTTCAGGCTAGAACTCTACATTTGTGAGTTCTCTGTGCAAGGCCCAGGTTTGAACCCATGTGAAAAAACATCCCAGCCAGTAGCCAGGATTTTGTGGCTTGTGGGGCTGAAGTTCTCAATGCAAAAAGAAAAGCCATTTAGCCAATAGAAAGCTGTGACCAGGATAGATCTCTAAATTGCAAGCTGTCAACTACTTGAGATGACAGCTCTCAGCTGCTGCAAGTTAATCACTTCTGCCAGCCTAAGCAACGATTCTGAGAACAAGCCGGCGGTGTGGGGTTGGGGGTGGGGTTGATGACTTCTACAGGCAAGAAAGCTAAAGCTGAGGCAGAAAAACTCTCTTAAAGGAGACCAGTTTTTGGACACAGAGGTAGAAGGGATCCTAGAGGTCACCTACTCCAACCCCCTTGCTCAGTGAGGGAACCAGTCCACTACAGCACCCCGCTCTGCTTGAAGGAGCGCATGCCTTTTAAAAAAAGTTTTTAAATGATTGGAAAAAAGCATTTACAGGAGAAATTCTTGTGGGGCTGTGCCTTTAAGAAAGGGGGCAGAGCCCCCCAAAGCCCCACCGTGACTACGGGACTGAAATAATCAGTCTCATATTTGAAGGACTGTCCTCCTCCATACGTCCTTGTGCACCTACTACACTAGTCAGGCAGCCATCTATTGGCTATCCTACCATTTAGAGTAGACTGTCCGACATCGACCAGAGAGGCAGGGCCTTTTCCATCGTGGCTCTAGGTCTGTGGAAGGGGCTCCCTGAAGAGGTGAGGGGGGGCCCCTCGGAGATTTTCAGGAGGCACTGCAAAACCCGCCTTCTTTGCCACAGGGTTTGAATGGCAGGCATCTTTTAAGTGTGTGGGGGTGGGGAGAGGGGAGAGATCTGTTGTTATTTTATTTTTGGTTTCAGCGGGGGATGTCTTTAACTCTTATTGTAAGCCACCTGGAGCCATGAGGAAAGGCAGGATTAGGGGTCATTTCCTAGAAAAAGAGGTGCAGGAGCTCATATGTATAACTCAGTTGCATATGCCACACCCCCTGACAAAGGGCAGGCATGTTTAAAATGAGTTAAGGCATATGCAAATGAGTTTAAATCCGGCTGGTTGGAGAAGGGCAGGGAAGGGAGGCAGACTTGCCTGGGTCCCCTGCCCGATCTTCTCCAGGTGCCCCTTGGTTGCAGGGCACCTGGAGAAAATCGGGCAGGGAACCCAGGCATTTAAATCCCCCCTCCCCGAGTCTCTCCACGAGCGGGCCAGGAAGGTGGGGGGCGGGGCCTGGTTTCCTTACTGCCGGAGCCCCACTCCGGGGCACTCCGGCAGGAAATGACCCCTGGGCAGAATGTAAATGTTTTCATTAACTAATTAATCAGAACACAAGCTTTTGCGCACTTTGTCCACAGAGAAGTCACACGAACCTATTTTTTTAACCTCTCCCTTCACTTTCCATCCTCTGCTGTCTAGCCCAATGTATATATGGAGATTGTGAGCTCCTCAAGGCAGGAGAACAGACATTTCAAATCATGCTGCTCCCCTGACCTGGATAGCCCAGGCTAGCCTGATCTCGTCAGATCACGGAAGCTAAACAGGGTTGGTCCTGACCGGTATTTGGACGGGAAACCACCAAGGAATACCAGGAGCGTGACACAGAGGCAGGCAATGGCAAACCCTCCTCTGAAACAGCTCTTGCCTCAAAAACAAGTCTAGCTCACTCCCTAGTAGTGCATAATGCTAAAGGAGCTAGAACTTCTGGCTGCCAGACCATCATAGGATCTCCTGGCTATTCTACACATACAGTGCTGTACAATAATAATAATTATTGGATCATGCTGCTCTGTAAAATGTTGGTTGTTGATATATATATTTATTTACAATTGCTTTCACGGTGTGTCTTTTTCTATTTACATTGTTATCCCACCGTGACTGCGAGAGTTGTACTATAAGGAAGGTTGAGCGCCGAAGAATAGATGCTTTTGAATTATGGTGCTGGAGAAGACTCTTGAGAGTCCCTTGGACTGCAAGGAGATCAAATCAGTCAATCCTAAAAGAAATAAACCCTGACTGTTCCCTGGAAGGCCAGATACTGAAGCTGAAGCTCAAATACTTTGGCCACCCATTGAGAAGGGAGCACTGCCTGGAGAAGAAGACCCTGATGCTGGGAAAGATTGAAGGTAACATAAGAAGGATGAGATGGTTAGATGGTGTTATCGATGCAACAAACATGAAATTAACCAAACTCCGGAGCACAACAGAAGACAGGAGGGCCTGGTGTGATGTGGTCCATGGTTTTGCGAAGAGTCGAACTCGACTGTGCAACTGAACAACAACAACAACCCACTGTGGCCCCTAGTTTATTATGGACAACAATGGCTGCATACGATGTACAATAGGAATACAATATGAATGTGTAGTCTACCTCCGTATCAAGAACATGTTTATTCCACCTTCCCTCCAAGGGGCTTGGGGCATTCCTTAGCCACATTATCCTCTCAACAACTCTATGATCTATGATATGATGCTGATGAAGATCATAACACTAAGGGCTGGGCCCCGTGCGGATTGAAAAATCCACACAACAGGGCCAGACGCAGCTACCACTCAGCGTTCTGCAAACTTGAGGGGGGGGGGGCGGCGGGACTCCAGGCTTGCAGGAAAATTTAAAAGAAAAAACGAATTAGGGGATAACCCCCCTCAATGTTACATCCAGTTGGAACACCACTTGGAACCCAACATCGAGCTGTCAGCAACCACAACTGGGAGGAGATGAGGGGGAAGGGGAGCAGAGCTGTAGGATTCCCAACAACATTGTCCTTTTCTTTCGCCTTCATTATCACAGCCTTTTTCCTACAAGGAATTGGCTTCTTTGCTCCTGTTAGCCATAGACTCTTGTTCATCTCTTCTGGCCACTTCTTTTAGTGGACATTAGCTCAGCTATGGTGCTGAGGCTGATCTGTCCTTTTTGGGGGGGAGTCATGTTTTCTGGCACCCTGCATTTCATTTATTGTACGCGGGCCAATGAACACTATGTTGCAAAGGCACTGTTATTTTAGAAGCGCAAAATGAAAGCCTGCCATTAGGAAGTGCGAGAGAGCAGGAAACATGCAAAGCCCCATAGTGGTTTCTTCACCTCTGGTGTGACCCTGGCCTCACAACTCGCACTGCCAAAATCCAGTGAACACTGGATCTCTCTTGCTCCTCCCGGCAAGCATTTGCAGGCAGTCTTGACATTTTTTTCATCAAGTGGCATATGCATATCTATTTGTATTTATGTTTGTGCAATTGCAAAACTGGATTGAGATTGTAACGTCACTGGCACTGGCCAACGGGCACTTTCCATAAGGAGCTTTTCCTTGTTTAAGATGCACTGCTCCAGAAACCTACAGATTGGATTTTCCAGAATTTGTTCCAGGAAAGGAAAAAATGAACATTTGTTCATGAGGAATTTATATGCTATCAAACTATCTCCATTCCTCTTAAAATGTTAGTTCTGGACCTACCTACACATTCCATTATCCTTCCTCCCCAGGTCTACCATGAAGACTTCCTATCAGAATTATCTTGAGAATTCCATGCTCAAAACTCCAATTCCCAGACACGTGAGTACTGATTCAGATAGAAGGATAATGTTCCCAGGTGCCTCAGGACCTGACTTGGATGCAGAGATAATGTAATCTATAGCGAGGCCCTCTGTCTCTTCAGGCAAAGACCCGTAGAGAGAGACAGATTTTGTTCAGTCTCCTTTGAAATTGTCTTTTAGTGTGTTTAGATGTTTATGGCACTTTATTTGTATCGAGATTGGTTTTAAATTGTATAATATGTTTTAAATGTATCAAATGTATACGATGTTTTATTATTGCAAGATTGCTTGCCGTGTAAGCCGCCCTGAGCCCTACAGGGGAGGGCGGGGTATAAATTTGATAAATAAATAAATAAATAAATATGGATGGATGGATGAAAGAAAATGTAGAAAAGTGAACTGCATCCAGAGAGACTCTCTATTATATTGTCAAGTCAATATCAATTTGTTGATGGTGGACTAGTTATGCTACTAGGTGAAAGTTCATTTCCGATTACCGCATTATGATGCCAAGTTATCATCCATCGACAATCAGTCAGATACAGCATGCGATCAATGCCCACGGATAATGAGAGAATAGGTTCTGGCATAGGCCTAAAGTTCATTGAAATTATTTGAGTTCATTATAGCGCTGAGTCCATAGTCAATGAGTTCGTTATGATGCTGGGTCAAGAGTTTAAGGCAATTAGAAATGGCTTAGTTGTAAAGCCAATAAGCGAGGACATTGGGCCCATGTGAAGTTAATTTGTTATCAGAAATACTATGGCATTTAACATCCCTCGTCGCCAGTGTTAATTACGGATAGGGCTGGGTTGTAGTGGAATCACAGTGAATCACTGCGCTGAGTCAACACACCTTGACGGCAAACCAATTTGGAGTGATTGTGATGAACAACACAACTGCAGCTGTCGATGGTGTCACAAAAAGAGCCAAGTACAGATGTTTCAGGTCAATATTACATACTATTGTTCCGGTTAATTTTAATGCTAAAGATGGCATCCCTTCACTCTGGGAAAGTAACTACTGTGGCTGATTGGAAACATGCATGGTTCAACACAGATTGATTGTTTTTGGTCAGCACTATGACAGTGAGTCATCTCTTGAGAGGGTCAGATTAGCACAGACAGCCTCTCGTCGATAAAGAACGGTACCAGAGCAACCATCACTGACAGTTGACGTTAGTGACAATATTTAGTTCAATGTCCATTGGCCATGATGGATTTAGGTCAATGCCCCTTGACCACTTAGCAGAGATGTCCATCAATCAGGAATCAATTAGTGGTAAATATAGTTGCGGGTCAAGACAATTTCGGGCACAGCAGTCCTGCGTGAACGTAGAATTGAGCCGAATGTCGGGAGGCAACAGAAAAAGGACATTTGGAGGCCTTGCAAAGTCTCTCTCCCCCCCCTTTGAAAACGGCTGTTTCATTTGCTGTGAGTGATTGGAGTTTGGGTAGTTGTGTGTCCGTATGTGTGTGTCACAGTTGACACTCGAAGCAGGATTAGGGTGGCTTATTATTTGAAATCACATTGTACCGAGGACCCAACCGTGAGCAATCAAACACCGAAGGCTTTGTGAGTCATACCCTGATCCCTTTTCCAAAAGTGATGAGCTATGATTCTGCACGTTGAGTCAGATCTCGGCAATGCTGAGTCAAGAGAGTCGGTGGAAATCAATTATGCCGGGGTGCCCTTTTGATGTTCTCCCAGCCTGCATGCGAGAACCGCTTCGGTGCAGCTGACAGAATGTTCAAATGACCGAACCATGAGGGTTCGGTCACAAGGGTCTTTCCCAGATAATGGCACCCCTGATGTAGGAGCAGTGCTGATTCTATGGGAAAGATCCATGTCACGGACCCCAAGCCATGCAGTTAGGTTGCTGAAATGTTCTTCCGGCTACATGGAAGCCGTTCACATGGATAAATGCCTCGCAGGCAGGGGAAGTATTGAGAAGACTCTTGTGTGATATAGTTAGGCGGCAGGCCGAGGGCCGCTCGTCTTGCAAAGGATGGTGTCTGGTCAAACAAGGACTGCGGGCTGAGAGGCAAGTGGAAATCAGAGATAAGTGAAGTCAAACCATCAAGAAAGGTCAGGTGGGTTAGAAGAGAAATACGGCAGAAGAACTGGAGACACTACAGAAACGAAGAGAAGGCATTTAGGCCCGAGAAGGAATTAGGAACAGGTAACGGCAAGACAAATGAGCCGAATCAGAAAGTGACACACCTGTGGACGGCATGTGATATAGACAGAGACGTCACATGAACGGGGAAAGGAAGACCCAAGATCTGGTTAAAATGGGTTGGGGTGAGGCGATGGGATAATTATCTCTACTTATTCCCAGGAGATTCAGAGGAGAAGTGTCTCTGGGGGATAGGTTCCAGCTCATCTCCTAGAAGGTTCAAGGCTTCCCCTTGCCCCACACTGCTGGTTCTGATACACTGTGAGACTCCCCCAAGCCCAAACAACTATTCACATCCCCCAAAAATGATTTGGTAACACAGAGTCCAAATATACCCATCTCATCGAGTTGTTAAAGTATGAGGCTAAATTTTAAGAAATGAATTAGGGTTCAGGTGAGGCTGGGCAATATTTAATTTACAGATTGAATAGTCAGCACATAGCCCTGCTAGAGTGTCTGAAAATGAAATGCCGCAGCTGAACATGGTGGTAGTAGAATGTATTTAATGTCTTTGGGGACAATAAACCAGAAGATCCTGCTGGGTCAGACCAGGGGTAGTCCAGCATCCTGTCTCACACAGTGGCCAACCAGTTCCTCTGGAGGGCCAGCAACCAGGGCATAGAGGCTGAGGCCTTCTCCTGATGTTGCTGCCTGGCTCTGGGATTCAGAGGCTTAGTGCCTCTGAAAGTGGAGGTTCCTCTAAGGTCACCACAGTTAGTAGCCACTGATAGACTTATCCTCCACGAATCTATCCAGTCCCTCTTTAAAGTTGTTTATTCCTGTGGCCGTCACTACATGTTCTGGCAGCGAATCCCACTTTTGAATCACTCTCTGTGGAAATCAGTCTCCGTTGTGAAGCACCATCACCATGACTGCGTGTTGACTCGGAAACACCACAGGCAGAAGCTGGCTGGTTGTGAAAACATCGTTATGGGGGGAGGCGGGCCTGAGGCTGACCATGGCACCCTTGCGAGCATGAAGACTGAAAAGCGTTACGAGGGATACCAGTGTGCACTAAGGAGCTGCTTACCTAGGCCCGGAGAAAACCCTTACCTTTCTTATCTTTCTTCTCTTCCTCTTCCCCACCGGCACCCAGCAAAGTGAAGATAATCCCGGTCTGTGAGTTGACCCCAACAGCTGTGACGACCATCCGCCCAGAGCCTTCCATGACGTGAGTACCTGAGAAACAAAGAGAGACCTGACATTAGAAACCACAACACTCGCAAACCAGTGGGGGGGCATTTTAAGCTTCCAGGACATTCAGTTGCTGACCTAAGAGTAGCAGTTATCTTGCCGAGGAATTTCAAAGGGAGATTAGCAAGAGAGACTGCTGAATTGCAACTGATAATGAAGCTCCAGACAAGGCACCCTCCTGGAATGAATCGAGACCTAGGTTTGGTGTAGTGGTTAAGAGTGGCGGACTCTAATCTGGAGAACTGAGTTTGATTCCCCACTCCTCTACATACAGCCAGCTGGGTGTCCTTGGGTCAGTCACAGTTCTCTCAGCTGTTCTCTCAAGAGCAGTTCTCTCAGAGCTCTGTCAGCCCACCTACCTCACAGGGTGTTTGTTGTGGGGAGAGGAAGGGAAGGTGATTGTAAGCTGCTCTGAGACTCTGAGTGAAGGGATATAAATCCAACACTTCTTCTTCTTCTCTCCTCTTCCTCCTTCACATCTTTCTCCTTCTCCTTTTTCTCCCTCAATGCTGGTTTCTCCACACCTACTACCCCTCTGCATATCACACCTAATCCAATCACATTTGCTATTGTTATTCACCTGCTATTGTCATTTGCCTGCTAATGTCATTTGGCCTCTGAAATCACTCCACTTTCCAATATGTAGGACTGACAGGCTCACATTTTAGTAGGGTTGCCAAATGTTTTTCGGCTGGGAGCGGGGGGCTCCCGGCTGGCGTCTGGGGTGTGTGCGCCGTGTGCACATCACCCGGAAGTGACGTTGCACGCTGGGGCAAGATCTGGTAAGATATCAGGCAGAATGGTCACTCCCGCTAGCTGGAAACCAAATCAAAACCAGAAGGGGTTAGATCCCCTGTGTTTGTCGCAAGATCCTGTAAGACGGTGGTTCTCAAATTATCAGAGGTTCCTCAGTCAGAGGATAACGGTGGGTGGATATGCTTTTCTGAAAAACAACTAATGCTCCACTAGGTTTTCTCCTGCCATGCATGGTCACAGAGAAGTGTTGGGTGTCTTTAACATTTCATCATAAGGGCCGCAACAGATGAGACATAGATCACACATCTAGTTCCAGCGACAAAATTCAAATTGCTGGCTTGTGCAGCCTCAGTTGGCCTCGGGGCCATGCAGGGAAGAGAACGATTTTAACCCTTCACCCTCCCCTCGGTTTCGGCAATCCGAACCAGGATTCCTGCTTCGTCATTATCACTGGATAATAACATGGTTCTTCCCTCTTTTAAAAATGCTAACAAACACCTTAGTGCCAAACAGCAATGCTGAGTGAACACCCTCTCCCTTTCCTGCATAGTCCCAGGGCAGACTGAAGCCGCTTGAGCCTGCTTGAGGCAGAACAAAACGTGTGGTCTTCATCGCATCTCGTTGAGCCCTTAGCTCTGCCGGAGAAACAACGAGGCTCAAAGGGACTGATCACTGCTTCTTGGGAATTGTCGGTGGACTCGAGAACAAGCTCCCGAATCTTCTGCAGAGCACAAGGGTTCTACAGCAATGCCAGTGTAGCAAAGGTTCCCTGAACCTTGATGTTTTGGAAAGCTTACGGAACCAGCCGTGATGTGCTGGGTCTGGCCGGTCGCCACGGATACCCTTCACTGAAAGCTGGATACGCAGTCCAAAAGCAAGCCAAGAAACAGAGCCGAAGGTCAGACAGCCGGGAAATCAATCAGAGTTTTCAAGAGGGAGCGGAGGCTGACAGCCGGGACTAGGTCCGAGAATACACCGTTGCTTCTGCGCCAAGGCAGGTGAGTGTAGTTGCTTATAACTGGACCCTCCCTTCCCTGGGAGGCGACCTGCAAAGACTCACAGCCCCTCACGTTGCCTTTGCAACAGCTCAAGTCTGGCACTCCTCCTTCTCTCTTGCATATCCAGCTGCTGGCGTGCCCTGCGTCTGGGACACTCAGGTGAGCTGGGTGGGGATCCAACAGTGTTCGAGGGGTCTCCAACAGTGTTCCCTCTAAGCTGAGTGAGTGTGAGCTAGCTCACAGTTGTTTAGCCTCCAGCTCACACATTTTTGTCTTCGCTCAGGGAGGATGGCTCCAGTGCAAACTAATTTACGCAGCAGCCAAATCACTCACTCACAACGTTAATGCCAGTAGCTCACAAAGTAGAGTTTTTGCTCACAGGACTCCACAGCTTAGAGGGCACATTGGTTGCCACCCAATGTCCCTGATGTGCCTGTGGGTGATTCTGCATCTGGCATTCGCTCCCCTGAAGAAAAGGTGCCGCTCAAAACCACATTCAGATACCCCGGGGCAACGCCGTACTGACTGCGAAGTCACCCCTGAATGGCCAATGTAGAAGGTACCCTAAAACCCGATGATCAAGGAACCTGAAAGCGGCATGCAATGCAGAGGGGGATTTCTGTTGCAAGGTGGGTTTGGTAAAACAATGGAGGGAAAAGTCAATACAGAATCACCCTATGTTACGAGGGAATGTCGTGTTTATTTCCGGCTTCTTGGAGGTAAGAGGGGGTAATTTATTTATTTTGTTTTTATTTGCTTTCCATTTATATCTCGCCTTACCAGCATGAACTGGCTCAAGGCGGCTTACACAGTTAAAACACAATAAAACCAATAAATACACTAAAATTACAATAAGAACAATTACATAAAATGCTGCTATAAACCGATGGTGGGGATTTCTGTACGTGGTCCGATGGGGGAAAGGCCATATCCGGCGTTGTTTCATAGGATTATGAGATGTTCAATGTACAAATAGGGTTGCCAACCCCCCCTGTTTGCCAGGGGTCTCCCGTTTTTTTGGGGGGTTCTGCCCGCCCACCGGCCAGATGGCCAGGGGGGAAACCCCGCCCCAAACACCCACAGCCACCCCTCTCTCTCCCTTTAAGTGTGTGGAACCCGTGTTTCCTCCCATTTTCCCTCCCAAGCCTGTGTTTCCTCCCAAGCCCGATCTCCGCTTGAGATCAGGCTCGCAGGGAAATTCCAGCTTCGTGCATTTAAAAGGGAAACACGGCTGCTCTTAAAGGGGAAACGCCGGCTCCTGCTCTTAAAGGGGAAACGCCGGCTCCTTTAAATGCAGGAAACTGCCGTTTCTGGAGATCCGGTGTGCGGGCAGGTGTGGGGGGGGCGGCGGACGTCCCCAACGTGACGTCATCACGTCGGGGATGCCCCGCCCCCTCCAGGAACGCCACCAAAGTCCCCCGCTGGGGTTGGAAGATGGACTTGACAACCCTATGTACAAAGGCTGTCAGTGGCGTCTCCTAATCGAAGGCCTGGTGGAAGAGCTCCGTTTTACAGGCCCTGCGGAACTGTAAAAGGTCTCGCAGGGCCCTGATGTCCTCCGGGAGCTCATTCCACCAGTGTGGAGCCACCACTGAGAAGGCCCTGGCCCTCATAATGGCCAATCTGGCTTCTTTCGGTCCAGGGAGCGTGAGACGATTTTATGTCCCTGACCTCAGTGCTCTCTGGGGCACATATGGGGAAAGGCAGTCGCTCAGGTAGGCAGGCCCCCGACCATATAGGGCTTTAAAGGTCAAAACCAGCACCTTGAAACGAATCCGGTATGCTATAGGCAACCAGTGAAATGCCTTCAGCACAGGCTGGATGTGATCTCTTATGGAGAGACCCATCAACAGCCTGGCTGCCGCATTTTGCACCAACTGCGGCTTCCGGAGAGAGCGTTGCAGTAGTCTAGCCTCAAGGTGACCATAGCATGGATCACTGTTGCCAGGTCATTGCGTTCGAGGAAGGGAACCAACTGCCTGATCAGCCTCAGATGATAAAAGGCTGACTTGGCAGTGGCTGCTACCTGGGCCTCCATTTGGGGGGGGAGTGCCCCAAAGTGGGAGACCCCGACCTGGATGAGGGGGTCTGGCAGCCCTATTCATATTTTTCTGGTTTTATAGATTTTCCCCTAAGTAAGATTTTATTAGGATGTAATGAAGGCCTATTAAATAGCAGGCCTTTCCCTTGTAGGTTAGAGCATCTTTCTAGCTGATGCTAGCAGACAAGAAATTAACATTCTTTTGGTATAGAAGATAGGCGTAGAGCAATGTTCCCTCTAAGCTGAGTTAGTGTGAGCTAGCTCACAGTTTTTTAGCCTCTGGCTCACACAGTTTCGTCTCAGCTCAGGAAGGAGGGCTCCAGAGCAGACTAATGTATGCAGTAGCCAAATTGTTGGGTTAAGTAAACATTTTAAGATATTATGTAGGCACACTTTTCTTCATATCTGACCCATGAGTGGACTCTTACTCAAATGGTACACTGTCCTTTGTAACCAATTCAGCTTTTTGAATGTTATCTTCGTGGCGATGTCATTTCCAGTATAAAATCTCATGTACTTCCTGACTGTGTTCAGAAAGCAGTCAGTTTTTGATAGGCTAAGTTTGGCCTAACTGTTTTCAGGTGTCTTGATTTCAATTAAAACACAGACGGGGTGTTTCAGCCAGCATAAACTGTACCGGTTGGAACCGGTGCAGTTTATGCTGGCTGAAATGCGATCACACTTACCTCCTGTCTGCGGAGCCCATCGCTATATGCCCGTTCACACACAGCGGGCGTCGGCGGTTTGGTTTTTTTAAAAACTCAGTTTGTGCATGCGCATAGGCAGCCATCCACAGAATGGCGATCTTCGCGCATGCGCAAAACATCCCGTCCCGAAAAGCATGCCCTGAAGAGAGGACTTACCTTTAAAGTTTAAAGAGCAAACTGGCCTCCCTGAGGTCCCGGAACATCTGAACTGCCCCTGTAAGAAGAGCTCTGACAGTTCCGCAGGGCCTGCAAGATGGAGCTCTTCCACCAGGCCTTCGATTAGGAGTCGCCACTAGCACCAACACATCTGAACTGCCCCTGTAAGAAGAGCTCTGACAGTTCCGCAGGGCCTGCAAGATGGAGCTCTTCCACCAGGCCTTCGATTAGGAGTCGCCACTAGCACCAACACATCTGAACTGCCCCTGTAAGAAGAGCTCTGACAGTTCCGCAGGGCCTGCAAGATGGAGCTCTTCCACCAGGCCT